AGAAAGGAAAAGAGAAAACAAACCAGGATAATTAGGCTTAATATAAAACGTTCCCAAACACTCCCTCTCCCAATCGCGGCCCTCGCGAAGCCCCTCCTCCTCTCCAAGGACAGCCACCACGGCAAACGTCCCGAACCAGTACTCCGCGAAGCGCTCCAGCGTCATCGGCTCCTCCATCGGATACGTGCACCCGGCCTGGATCTCGGCGCTGAACTCGCGCTGCAGCAGCGCAACCAGGTCCGCGGGGACGCTTTGTGGGCCGTTGGCCACCGGGTACAGCGTTACGGGGGAGCCATCTTTCAAGTGGGCTGGTCGGGGGGTTAGGGTTTGGGAGGCTTGTTGGGCGGGTTGAGGGGCGGGGAGGGTGGTGGTGGGGTCTTCGAGGATGGAGGGCATTTTTCCTTTCCTTTTGGTTTTCTTTTGTGGTTCTTGTTTGGGCTGGGGAGATTGGCGTGTTAATTGCCTTTACTGGGAGGGATTTCTGGGGGAATGGATTGAAGGATGCTGTAGATTGCTTTTTCTGGGGTATATAAAAGTTTAACTGCTTCTTATCGGGGGCGATTAGTCATTGATTTTGGTGGTTGTTTTGGGAAGGGCGTGAGGGAGCCGGATACGGTGTTGATTGGTGTGGGGGGGGGGGGAGTTAACAATAGCCGGATGCATATACATACATACATACTTTTAGATAGGACTTATATTGTTCTTGATTCTTGAGATATGTCTATGCATCGTGTATGCATATGTAGCTACTGGTAGATCACTGCTCTAGTACATCCCTATATACTGAACTGTGGTAACAGTAACCCTTACATGGATTCTATCTAGTATATGTATGTACATGATATCCAAAGCACTGCAAATGATATAATATAATATAGTACATTCTATCATACACCCCATTCGTTAACTGAGTCCCTGCCTAGCATGTCCTTTTACGGACCATATAATATCCAGTATGCCGCCCTTTGTAGCCCCAGACACCGACAGCTCTTGATAATAGAGTACATCGCTACAAGTGTCGTACCGCTCATCACACGGAGGTATATCTAAGACCAGGCAATGCGATCGTCATAGAGTTATCACGGAAACACCACGGTTAACACACTTATTGTTGGCCCTCGCCCTCACCCTCCCCATCGTTCTTGATAGCGTTCATGAGTTCGTATAATTGGCCGATCTGCTGGTCTGCATCATACCCTCGTTAGCTCCCGACATACACCAAAAATGAAAGAGAAAGCGAAAAAGACAGGAAAGAAAGGCATACCACTCATCTTATCCAACTTATTCTTATCCAGTTTCTCTCCAACCCAGGTATCGCCCTCCAACTTCTGGGCGTACAACTGCCACTCCGTCAAGAACCCGATCTACATTCATTAGCTGTGTTCTCCGAAACCATATGCCCCACAAGGTACAAGGTATGTTTGTAGATCACAAGAGAAAATGAAGAAAAGCGTACAATATGCAACGGATTCTCCACATTGCGGTGGGCCCTGAACTCGCTCTTGAGGTAGGAGTCGCCGAGGATGCGCATCTCGGGGTCGAGTTTCTTGCGGTGGACGCGGAGGATGCGGCGGTAGAGTTGGAGGGGAGGGAGGAGGGCGAGGGCTTCGCTGAGGCTGGATTTGGAGCCCATAGTGGAGGGTGTGGCCATCAGCAGGCGGGAGAGGGCGCGCATGTTGGAGGCTTAATTTAATTGGGGGTTTTTCTGCTGGGCGAGTGTATTGGAGAGAAGTTGTTGCGATGCGGTCGATGATGATGGTATTGCCGCGGTTCGGTGGAGGCGGAGAGCGATTGGCCAATTGGAGGGCTGGGATTAGGTTTTTATCGGGTTATCTGATTGAGACTTTAAACTACTGTGCATTTATTGATGATAGAGTACTATCGTATTGCTGCGAAGGGTTGAACGGCGGTATCCTACTGACGGCGATTTTATATTCATAACTGGGTACTTGGAGTGATCATTGCCAAGTGGTGTGGTAATATATATACCAAGGCTAATACGTCAACAAAATGCTCCCCACTCCGTGCACATCCCACGTCTCCTTCGATACCATCTACGAACCCTCCGAAGATTCCTACCTTTTCCTCGATACCCTCGCCTCGCCGTCCGAATCAGCATGGCTCACGCAGCGCTTCAACACGACCCCCTCGTCCCCAGACCAATCCACCGCCTCTCCCCTCGTCGTTGAGCTTGGAACCGGTTCGGGAGTCGTGCTAGGCTTCGTAGCAGCCAATTCGCAGTTGATCTTTGGACGGCGCGATGTCCTCCCTCTAGGGATAGATGTGAATCGGAATGCCTGTATCGCGACCCGTGAGACAGCCAATAAAGCAATCAAAGAACGACAGACCGATAATGAATCACAAGAGCCCAACGGTCAGAAGACGGTGTATCTGTCCTCGGTCATGGCCGATCTAGGAAGCGCCCTTCGCCCAGGTAGCGTGGACGTCCTTCTGTTCAATCCACCGTATGTGCCCAGCGAGGAGCTGCCACGGTTACCCTCCGTGACGGAACAGGATGTCGACGAGACGGGGATGTCGCGGTCGGCGAAGTTTGAGCGCGACTCGTACTTCTTGTCGCTGACGTATGCCGGGGGAAGAGATGGGATGGAGACCACGGATCGGCTGTTGGAGGAGATTCCGGGGCTGTTGACTCCTGGCCGTGGGGTGGCATATGTGCTGTTTTGTGCGCAGAATCGGCCGCAGGAGGTCAAAGAGAGGATAAGGGCTTGGGGGGATGGGTGGCAGGCAGAGACAGTTGGGAACAGTGGTCAGCAGGCTGGGTGGGAGAAGTTGGTTATTGTTCGGATATGGAAGGAAACGGCGTGATGGGATGATGATATAGTACGGATACATAGACACCAAAAATAGAGCAATAGACTAATGACCGAGATGACTGATTGAGTGATGTTTTACAGGCAGATGGACGTTATCATCCATCACGTATTCGTTCCCAAGGTTATCAATTCCTGCGAGATATCGTTTTCAAGTGTCCTATGGCAGACCATGCCACCCGGACTTCTTTAGATGTTGATCCGTGGATCCTCCCACCAACGCATCTCAGCCCGCAATGTCTGATGATCTCGCTTCCTCGTTCATGCGTGATAAAACCCACTCTCCCCGCGACAAGAGCCTATCATGCCTTGAGCTTGTACGAGACCCGAGGTATAGCTGCCTGTCAACCGTGCCAAAAACAACCGCATATAACGTTCGATAGCCTCGTTGATGTCAAGCGCTCTCTCTGTCGCTGAGATATACGACCAGAATCCGACAAGATTATTGAAAAGAAAAAAAAAAGGTAAATTAGAACTCTCTTTTTTCCCGCCCATTGCACGAAGGAATAATAGAAGCTGAACCCTCGAGGTGCAAAAATGAAACCATCGCAGATATCACCCAAAACGAATCAAATCGGAAGAAGAGAAAAACTCCTAGTCATTGTCTATGTTCCCGTTTAGAATCCACGCCCACGTCCCCGGCCGCGTCCACGGCCGCCCCTGCCGCGAGGGCCACCACGGCCGCCGCGAGCGCCGCGGTCAGCCTCCTTGCGCGCCTTGTTCTTAGGCTTCGGCTGGTCGTCGACAAGGAGAGTATCCAGTGGCAGGCTGTCCGGAAGAATGTAGTAGCGGATTGTCGAGCCTCGGATGTTGATGGTGTCGAGCGAGATAGGGTCGCGGCCCTTGGGGGTCATCTTCACGGTGCGCAGCGCGGTGTTCATCTGCGGGGAGACCGACGTGATTGTGCCATGGAGGATTGTGCCTGGGGCTAAGTGTTAGAAGGAACAAAAAAAAAGAAAAGAACATCTGATAGGATGTGTACGAGGGCAATCGGTGGGATTGCCAGGGTTGCGGCAGGGGGAGACTGACCATTCTTCAACTCAATCGTCACCGTCTCATTGGCGCACTTCATCAAAAACCTGACAGCAAGTCATGTCAGTATCAGTCGGCTAGCTTATGGTCGCGAATTGTTTGTGGAAACAGCTCTTCAACAGCTTGAGGCAACATACCGGACAAGCTTCATGGTGACGTGTACGCGCAAAACACCGAAAAATCAGAACAAAGAAAGAGTCCTTGTATTAATGTAAGTATTAATACAGAGTTATTATCTGAACACTGGCAGACTGGGGCGGGACTAGATGTATCTTCAAGCCTTGCGATTGCTGTCTTGCGGCGGTGATTGCAGAGGTGGTTTGTGCTTAGTCAGCCGCCCTCACGTTTCAGTCTTAGTGCAGACATTAATTTCATAGCTTAGTCATAGAATGCATAGAAGCTGAGTTCTAGTGCGAGGGAGAGCCGGAATAACTTAACTTAATGTAGCCCTGGGACAACAATCTCTCAGAATTGGAAGCTTATGTTAATGTGCCTACCAAGCGTACACTCCAAAGAAACATAAGGCGCAGCAGCGTTCATTTCATGCAATGTTATAACCCGAAACATGCAACATCACGCCAACCCCAAATAGAAAGACAGAAATACGAATTCTACTCTGCCACAGTCCGATCAAATGGTATCTCAAAGGTCGCGAAGAAAACAATAATACTGAACAAGTGGAATACAAAGCGGTAATCCAATCGAATCACCCAATACCATGCCAGTGGCAATACGCAAGTTTGCAGGTCATAGAACTCCATGTCGTGCCTTGAAGATGGAGATCTTGTCATCATAAAATAGTATTTCACGTAGCCGAAAAGCCACGCGCGATTTGCTGCTTTCGAGATCAGAATCGTATCCATCTGATGAACTGTGGTCGTCTGACGATAGCTCCGAGTTCGACTCCATGGCGCTCCCAGCGCCGCCATCATCCGAATCGTCATCCTCCGTGTCGGACGGTGCCCAGTCATCACTGCCTGGGACAAAACCCTCGCTGTGGCTGTCGTCCGCATCATCGAAGTCGTCTTTCTCACCGTGCTTGCCCTCGAGGATTTCATAGCACTTGTTGATCATTCCAATGTAGCTTATCCCAACTTCGGGGCGAATTGTAACAATATCAAGGATCTGCAATGCGAGTTCCTTCGGGTCTCGATGAATCGGATTGGTTATGTGAGGAATATGAAGGGCACGTAACTGGGGCATATTGGGGAGCCTCTGGAGAAAGTAATGCTAAAGAGGGTTAGCACGGGATTAGCCACAGAGTACTAATACAGATAAATTTACCCAGTCCTTGGAATGCATCGTCATCGATAGTTCGCGCAGCCGTGGCATACGGCCGCTGGTAATGAAGGATATCATTTCCCGGGTGAACATCCATTTGCGCCAGCGGTTTGTGCTGATCTCAAGCCCACCAGGTGACCGCTCTGTGCTATCAACTAAGAGATGTTTCAAACTCGTTCGATGGTTACGGATCACATTTCTATAGATTGCGTCAACATGAACGATAGAGTCGTACATAGGAGCCTCATGCAAAAATAAGGTTTCCAGTGTATTGGGCGCAATGGCATCCTTGATAAAGAGTAGCAGGTATGGGGACACAGCATCTGTGTGAATATGCTTGAGCTTTAGAGAGTACTCCGACGAGGAGCTATTTACATCTTTATTTTCTGGCGTTGGACTGCTGCGCAGAGCAGCGGATGGAGAAAATTGGCGACGGAGCGCTCTCCAGAGCTTTTCGTGGCCATCGCAGCGAAGTATTGTGAGTGTTGTAATCCGGGGCCAGTCTAGTGCATGCATCATGACTGGGATGGACAAACAGACGCGCTCTAGTTCAAAGACCTCCAACTTCAGCCTATCAGACTTAGGGCTTATCATCGAGGCGGATGCAACGGGCCTGTTGACGCCCAAACACTTGTTTGATGGTTCTGGTAGATCTCCGAGTCTCGATAGTTGGGTGGAATTTGGCTCCTCGGTCGCTTGGGGCGATGTTGCACAATCGATCCTAGGAGCGCCAGTGGTTTTGGGAGAGTGCTCTAGAGGTACCGAATCCGAAAGTTGTGTGGTCGAATGTCCAGTAGAAGAGCCGTTGCTAGCAACATCCCCAGTTGGCGGAACCGACCTGTTGGGCCCCTGGTGACCGTCATGCTGATCCGGTTGCGCCTCTTTCGAGGAAGGCTGATCGGCTGCTAGTTCAAAGGGAAATTGAGTGTGGGGATTACCCAGGAGGACGCCGAGTACACCGCCGACTTTAGGCCAACCGGACACCACAGGGTTGGACGTGTCTTGTTGCACAGGAGACCAGCCTCCTAATGCTTTCAGCCAATTGTACTGATATACTCTCGAGGAAATCCCGATGCGCAGTTCTTTTAAGCGCTCTCGCGAGCGCTCGATGAGTACAGCCATTTCCTCGAGATATGACGACTCATCTATATCGAGAACGCTTAAACTCTTCAGCGGGGGTAAGATTGAAAGAGTAGGATACTCTACATGGGCGTAATTTTGTAGACGCGTTGACCTAGCAGATGTAGAGATAAAGGGAGACGGCATGCCTGGGAGTGTCATGTCTGATGGTGTCCGAACCATACGTATCATGGAGTTATCGTGCCAACGAACCCAAACACGTTCTAGACGGCATTCATGTCCCGGTCGGTCTGCTAGAGATGATAGCGCTATCCAAACGTCCCGCAAAACCCCAGTCGGCATATCCCAGATGAAAGACTCTAGGTTTACCATGCGAGCGATAGCCAACGCTACCAACGTTCCCAGCATTTTGCCTGTTTCTTTCGTCACAGAGTACTCTTGGACACACTCCGGCGGTCCATTTCCCACAGAAAATTTGCGCGTATATTGTGCATAGTGGTTCCCTCGACGTATCCTCCGTATACCGTCTGTCTCAAGTCGGGAGCCTTGATGAACATGCTGGGCGCTACAGCCGCAGTGATGACAGGGCGCAACGGGACGGTGGGGTGGAGGAAGCTCGTGGAAAACATCTTCGCCCATTACTAGTGTTGCCAATCCATATGAAAGAGCATCGACACCTGTGGGATGGACAGATGGTGACATTGGCTCTGGCCATACGATATCAAACCGAGAATACATTTGAGGAATGGCCAAAGCATGCAGACTGAAACATGTCAGAGCTAGCGAGGTCAGGTCGTTGGTATGCGTCACCTATATCGTCAAAGAAAATTACTATGATTAGAAACAGAAAGAAGGAGTTGTCTCAAAGGGAGTTGACCGTGCTTACTTCTTTAATGATTACCTGCAATATATCCATGGGTAGGTCAAGCAAGTGCAGAGGCCGTCTGGTACCACCCATAGCTTTGCCATCGTATACGGACCTATTTTCTACCGGTTTCACTTCGGAGGTTTCGACTTCCTGAGCCTGTAAGGTTTTCGTACATGGTGCTGCTGAGTTACACAGGGTCCCCTGTTGGTCACTTATGGATTCTAACGCAGGTTGCTTGTACTCCACAAAATGCTCTTGTCCCACCTCGGAGGTCGTACTCGCACTTGAAAGAAACTCATCATCGTCGTCTGAGTGCTGAGTTGAATCGGTGCTAACTCTAAAACCTGCGTACGCACTGCTAGCTTCTGCCATGTTATTGACAGATGAGGTCATCTCGTACTAGCTGCGCACAGGCACTTGATATAGCTATAGGACATCACAAGGCCAATATAAGCTAGCGAAGTAGAGTGTAGCACAGTCAATACGAAGGCCGTGCTCCTTGTGTCGCGATAATTCCTGATTGCTTGATTGTTGAGGATGGCGCGGAATCTGGCGGGTCAAATCCGGGGTAAACGTAGTACTGTAGGGAATAGTATTAATGAGTAGCTGAGGATGCGGCGGCGGAACCACCAAATGGATTGTGCCACAGAATGATGCCTATCCAATCAAACTCGGTCAAGTGTCGGACACTCAGAAGTACCTGTGAGAGACGAATCGCTTCAAAATAGCTTTGGCCAGGAGTACCAGTGTTCCATGAATCTTACACAACCCCGTCGGGAGCTGAGCAAGGTTACTGGGTTGTGGAAGGAATACCGTCTTCTTTTGTTGGGGTATTCGTGAGCCTGAGGTCATTTAAAGTCACACTAACAGCGGCACGTTCGCCGCCTTAGGCCGATCAGTCACCTTCCCCACACCGCACGTGCCAGTTGCTTAGTTCTATGATCTCTACTCTTGTATCAGCGACAACTAGTATACGGAGCACATTATGTCCAAAGCATTCAGGAAAACACACATCAGTGTGTGAATTGAACGAAAAGGAAAATTCTTAAGTATATAACTTTATGATCTTTCTGATATCTGACAAACTTTGACAGCTAACAGTGACTCATCTTATTTACTGGAATCAGCGGTGGAAACCACGTCACAAACCCGACCAACAAAGCCCTCAAGTCCGGAAGGTGAGCCTGAGCCATGTGGAGAAACGAATGCAGTCGATGCCCCTGGCATGAGAAGTATGCGAGACCCAACTTCGACCCATTCAACCGACGTCACGAAACAACATGTAATCTTGACATCCCCAACATCCAAATTGGCCGACGACCTGATCATATAGTTTAGTTCGGATTGGCTACCTTTATCGCGGTCATTAACATCGCTATCAAAGCTGAAGAACTCAGGTTCTGTTGGCGACGGAGGCGAAGAGACGACTTTATCGTCCGCAAGTGCCATACAAGTCACTTTAACCGTGGACCGAATGTTGGCAATGTATACGATCGCGTTCCCTCCCAGTAGCAGTGGTGGGGATAGCGATGAAGCGAATTGACTCGAGTCAAAGCTAGCGACAAAGCCCGTGTGGAATAATAGTGACTTGGGAATGGAGTTGGCAGGTGGTGCTGGAAAGCTGGCCAGGATGATTCCTTTCCGAACCCTACCAAGCCGAGGAGGCGGCTCGTCTTGGGAATTGGGAACAGGCTCCACGCCTACTGTGCCTACTTGGTCTTCGACTAACTTCCGGACGGGCAATCGGAGGTTCCGAACACTGACTACTCGGACACGTTGCCAGTGCGCTTGAGTTGGGTAGGGTATCTTTCCCGGAAATGATCCTTGGACAAACGAAGTAGAAAAGTCTCCCGATGATGGCCTACTCCGAAAGGGTTCAGACTGAGGCTGGGCGTCTGAGTATCGCTCTGAACGAGCCCTGCCTCCATGTTCCGGTAGGGCGTTATCTAGAAGGGGTCCGATGACCAACTCGTCACCTATTGAAATTGATCCGTAGCGGACTAAGCCACAGAGAACCACACCGTGGTTCTCCTTTGAAGACTGTTCCGCGGACATTGAGTAGACTTTCGATGGAGGAATGGCAAATACCTCGTCTACATCGAAAATATTTGTAGGAAGTGCCGGCGGTGGCAGTGCCTTCGACGGGGAAATGGTTCGTAGTGATGGTCTTGCGGGGATTGGGAGATTTCCCAGCAAAGCATGTAACCTCCCTATTCCTGAGCCATCGACAGCACTTGTAAGGATTATTGGAACGGTAGAAGACCAATTTTCTGTTGTAGCGATCAGCTTCTTGATTTCCATATTATCCTTCGTTCCGACGTGATGCAGGTCAAGTGATGCCTCAGTTCTGCCAGATTGCACAGGCAGCATGGCGGGCTTTTTGCCAGAAAGCTTCAATGCCGATAGAACTTTCGTAAGATTTTGTTTCAGGCTCGCGCGAGATGCAAGGTCCATCTTCGTGATAACCACTATTGTAGGGATCTCTAACTTATTGCAGAGGTCGAGGTGAGACAATGCCAAGTTGACATCGGTGGTTTGCTCCCCGGGGTCGGGTTGAGGCTCCTTTGTGGCCTCATCGTCACAATTGGCCGGAATACACAGCAATACATAGTGCGGAGCCCAGCTGATCAGGCCCCGAAGTGTAGACTTCAGATAACGAACCGACCCCGGGAGGTCAGAGACGAATGCTAGACGTCCCTGTGCTGAGGCTGCATGTACATCATCCCACGCTGCAACATTGCCCGATGAATAATTGACTACATCGAGGGTGTCCTCGGACTGTTCATTGGCGGCGTACCCTATCAGCTCATGCGCAACTGAGCTAGTGATACCGGAAGAAATTTCGTGCCGATGCTTGAGAAGACCAAGTCTGCTGGTACCTCTTCCATTGTCGAGGATGGATGAGGTCAGTGTACCCAGAAGTGACGATTTTCCAGCTGTAGTTGGGCCAGTGATGGAAATGCGTAATTGCTCCGTTTTGGAGTGATCGCCCTCCAGCCCTCCTTGCCTGGCCACCAGTGACGGTGAGTTGCCCTCGTAGGAGCCATTCTTTGGCGATTCAATTCGGTAATAGTCCCAGTCCGGACTCACAAGAGCCTCGGCGACCCAAAGATCTTCTGCATGGACCTTGCCAACTTCGGCATTTGGTGCACATGCGTCCTCAGTCCATTCGCAGTTTCCAACAATTACCTGGCGAAGAATTTCGACCTTGCAACCAAGGCTACCTGCCATCACCTGTAAATTCAACAGGCTTTCTTCCAGCTCGTCATGAGTGAGTCCGACAAACGTGCCATCGTCGGCAACCCCGATCTCGTACAGAGCACCCTGGCTCTCCTCAAGACCAGGGAGTAAGCGAGCCGGTTTCTGAAGGATTCCAGGTTCCAATACTGCCTCTGGGAGAACGGGGAGCACAAGATTGGCAACAGTAGACGAATGGAAAGGCGAAGATTGCTGTAAACGCCACAGAAGTTGAGTGGTCAATTGTTGCAATCGTTGCTGACGGCTCTGGGTAGATCGGACTTGAAACTGCTTCGAGGCTGTTTCAGAACTAGAAGATGTTGGAACCGGGGTAGACAAAGGCAAGCGGGAATGATAGGAACCGCCAACGAGATGACCGGTAGACATAGCTGTATAGAGTCTCCTTGCTCGAAGAAGAAGATGCAGCTTGTACTCAGTTGGCCCTTCTTGCGGCTCCGGCTCTAGCTTCGTAATACCATAGTCAGATAAGACATTGGGATCTGGGCGATCCAGATTGGTAGCAGAATGATTCCGAGTCACTGTGCGGCCCCCTGTCCCAGCTACCTGTGGGGTGGAGGATCCAGAGGTGGACCACGGAGAAGAGACCCTTGGAGGGTCAGGATCGTAAGTAAAGATAGACGCCATACTTCAGGCTGCTCAAGACAGTGTATGTCAAAAACAAGCTGCAGTTGTTTATCGGAACAGCGTGATGAAGCGAGCGGTTGAACAGAAAGTGACTCAGATAGGTAACAGGCTAGGCCGAGGTATGCGAGGGGGTAATAAACAGTGTAAGTGCCAGCAAGCTTGGGATACTTTACATAGGTTGTAGAATGCTATTGATAATCGAGTCATCTTGAGTATCGACGTTAGAGATGTAGTTGTGGGCGCAATTGGCCGGAAGCTAGACAAGTCCTTCCAAAGAGAAGGTCCTGGAAAGTCATACAAACATGGGCAGTTGACACTTAAAAGGACGCCGACGGCATGGTGGAGAGCATACAGTGAGTCACTTGGTGTTCCCTGGCATCACATCGTCTTGTACTGGATGACATGATCCGGTCAGGTGATGCGTGATGTAAGCATGTGAAGGGCCACGTGGTGGTTACGAGCCTGAGGCACGACGTCAGTATCTGTCGAGAAAGTGTTTCCCGACTTGCAAATACAGTCCTTCCGGAGAAAATATAGCATGCATGGACAAAGAATTCGACTATGCGCACTAGAACTTAAGGTCCTGCACTTATCAAAGTTGAAATATCAGACGAGATGTTTGAACGCGTAGATAGTTCGCGCCTATGCTTTGGAAGTAAATAGTGCAGGCTTAGCCAAAAAAGAAAGTATGTACAATATATATCACTATATCCGTCAATTTAGTGCCCCCTTACTCCACCATGAATGTAGATATGAATGCTGAGTTGTCTATATGTCTTTTATAGACTCGCTAAATCCTTATCTTGAAAAGGATTCGAGAATTCGTTCGCTGTTCTAGGCTCCCTATTCGCCGAACGCCGCTCCTGTGAGGGTATCGGGGGACGAGCTTGTTTCGCTGCAGTCATTCGAGAGTGACTTTGAAAAAGGCAACGTGATGCTCCGAGTTGAACAGTATTGTTGTAGAAGTATTAGGTTGTTGGGATTCGATGGAGAGTTCACTCCGTCACGGGCGCAATCATCACTCGCTTGATGTTTCCCTGCCTCCACCTTTACATTTCCCTTGAGAGACATGAATATTTCGAGCAGTTGTTCGCGTGAATACAGCACCACAGCTGGGGCATTCTGCTTTGGCAACCACGCCTGACTTCTCCCTTTGATGGCGGAGTAGGTTGCTAAAAGTTGAAAATTCACGACCGTTGCATCCGTGATCCCAACATTGCGGCTTCGGTCGGAAGCTAATGACGCGAACTTGCTGTTCTGGGTCTGAGCCTGCCGGTGCTGTATCGGGTGACGAGTATACTGTTCCTGGTGTCATTATATGTTGTGACTGAGGGCTCACTGCTAAAGAGCTTGGATTTGACCTTGAACTTCACATGTCAGTGTACAAGGTCGAGATAACGAGTGTGGGATGACTGACGATAGCGAAGGAGCCTGGGAATAATAATATTCTTGATGATTAACTAAGTATGAGGGAGGCCTAGAAGCTAGTCAGTGTCGTGATTTCTTTTTGGATACCCTGGCAACCTTACGATGAAGTGAACGACTGTTCCGCTATTGTTGGTGGGCTGCCTGCAATGTGGCTGCTGGGAAAGGAATATGGAATGGAAGAACTATGCAATACTACGAGTCAGTAACTTTGGTCTAACGAGCAGTGGCTGTAGGGAGATGGCCTACCTTCGGGGGTGCTGACGGCTTTGAAGCAGACCCGGGTGTGGCGAGCAAAGATACTGAGGTGCTGGAATTCCCGGCTGATAAAAGCCTTGCGTTGTGGCCTGCGGAGTATGATATCCGACATGGTATCCAGTAGATGGTGGGAGAGTCTGTGGTTGGGAAAACGGTTGTTGGTCCATAGCCATCGAGGAAGGATGAAGAGGATGTGACGGCCGGCTTTGCCAGCCATAACCTAGATGGAGTCAGTTCTGAATATCATGGTCCTGGACAGGTGGACCGTTTTAGGTATCGTACTGTGTGTGTTATTATCTGCCATAATTGCCATCAAGTCGGTCTTCAGCTGTGCTTGGATAGAAGGCTCAAAGCACGGTGTTCTTTGTCATAAAACTTCATATTAATAGATGCACTCGGTCGAGATCAAGGCCAACATACAGTGAGTTTTCTATCGGGAACTCCCCTTGGATCCGCTTGGATAGACCAGAGTGCGGTTGATTTTCGTACTCTGGTCTTAAACAGTCTGATTCACAACCAAGCGGAGTACCAAAAATGAGCGGGGTGGATTCCAACGATGACGAGGAACTTGAGCTGCTACTAGATCGAGCTGCTGGGTCCTGTCCTTGAGAAACCTTGAAGTCGGATAGTGCAGTTGGACTCGGTAGACCCCAATACGAGCCCGAGGTACTCGGCGGACTAGTATTCCGCGACGGTAGAGGCTCAACCCAAGTCGACGGACGAAGTCCGAAAGAAGAAGCGGATGACTCTGAATAGACACTCAGATTCCACAGTGGAGAGCCAGCCAGGTGTCTGCGATTATGATAAGAAAAGTTAGGTAAGTGATGTGTTTCCAGTGGTATGGAGGACATTTGAGTGGTATAGTACACTGGTTTAGCAAGACAGAGAATGGGAATGGTATTGAATTTAGACAAAGTACAATGTTAGAGAGGGAGAGGACAGTAAAAATCCCCAGACCACATACATATAAGGCGATCATATAGTGGGAGAAGGAGAAAATGGGGGAGGGAATGGTGAGGGGGACGATCACTGGACCTACAGTATAGAAGATACAAGCGCAGACTGAATCCTTTCGACAACCACGGCGGTAATATCGAAGTCCAACAACTGAACCCTGTTGACAAAAATAATGCAAAATCATACGGAAACCAATGAAGCCATCCCCAGAAATCTGAGCAAAGGCGACTATTTAAACGTCCTAGGGTCAACAAATGGAGAAAAACGGACGAGGGTAAGCGAATAAGCAGATTAGCCTGGGGGTAGACCAAAGATAGTTCGTTCTGATTTAGTACTAAGTCTACAGCTCAGCTTATGGTAAGTCCGGTTTTACTTTAAGGTGATCGTTTATTATCCAATTCGCCTATTTTTTTTTCTATTTTTTGATTTGCCTAGAATTAATTTCTAATACCTTTTAGTTAGCATGATTCACACTGCCCCTTCCCTAAGTGAGGCCTGTCAGACTTTGTCCTAAAACGCGAGCCAACGTCGATGATCTTGCCGTTTGACTGACTGGCCACAGACATTGTGTTTCCTTTTTTTTTTTTTTTTTTCCTTCTCCCTGAACCTTTTGTTCTCTTCTTGGACGCACCAGCAGCCTTGGAAGAGAGAGAGGGAGAAGTTCAGAGCAAGACAAAAAAAATAAAACTAAAAAGGGAAAAAGGTCCACACAAATGGAGTAAGGTTCATTGTTGATGAAATTGCTCTGTCAACTTCTACTCTCTTAATTCTTCTCCCCCGTTTCCCTCTGTCATCAAGCGTTCACGACGGGGTCAAAGATCTAACTCGGGATACTCGATCCAGAATAGTTCTGCACAACGATTTCCGACATCCTTAGATAACCATGGAAATGATTCGACCCAACTTGGAACTAAAAAGGCAGGCTATTCGGGAACCACACCTTCCCGCCTAGCTCCACCCTACCGTGCCTGGGATGCTCCGAATAGATACGTGCTGGGCGGGCAATTGGAAATGTCTACGAATTTTCGATGGACCCAAGGTTACGGCGGATCTTTGGTGAAGCGCATGGTGAGAAACAAGAACAAGCTGCTGGATCCGTCGTAAGGGACCGGGGGAGGCAAGCTCCTGGCCCCGGCATTGGGGAAGCGCAAATTGTTTTTCAGCCCCAAGGAGCTAAACGGACGCCATGTGTAGTGTGCCCGTTTTTTCCCTGTCTCTCTTTGGCCAGCTATTGCTTATTGAATTGGGGGCCAGGGTGGTTAGCATGTACCCGATTCGTACTTTGGAACTAAGCGTCTAACTTAGGGCGGGTACCGGACCAGGAGGAAACGGCGCCGGCTGGCATACGTGGAGCCAGGTTCTGGGCTTAAGATCGTCATGATAGGGAGACGGGTGCTTGAGATCAGGACCCAGGACCACATGGCGATAAGCAGTCATGGCTGGCTCAGGTTGGGGAGGGACCCTTCCCTGAGGTAATTAGCATTAACGGGTGCATGGGCTCACTCCATATCTAGCGCTCGAACTATGGCACAATCAATAAAGCCCCTGGAATGGAGACCCATTCCTCAACCTACCAAGATTCACCGTACCCGCTCATGTGTGTGTGATGGTGAGAAATACGTAGACGACTTTTGAAAGGAAAAATATTTGTCGGCTGCTTTTCTCTCGCATTCGTTTGGCCCCCACCGACTTAGGCGTCGCCAGCCACAATTGGGGGGATCCGCATTTTCTCGATCAAGACAATTCGTATTATTATATTACTTTTTGCTATTAGGGGATTCACCCCGACACTTAGCGAAAAACAGTACGAAATACCAGAAAAAAAAATACGAAGATGACAAAAGAAAATACAGACAACCATGGAAAAAAAACAAGGAAAAAAAGGTTAGGAATTGGAAAACACTAAAAAGCAAAAAAAGAGAAACAAAATCAACCCATTTTCTAGGTTCTGGATTGTTCTTCCACAATTGAACTCATGGTTGGTCCCCACCCCATTCTATTCAATTATCAACCAAAATACTCACTTGAACCGAAGTTGTAAAAAACAAATAAAAAGGCGAGGGAAAAAACAAAAACCCAGAACCCACATCCCGCCAAAGACATCTTAGATAACGAACCGGACCATGGCGGGCACCTTTCGATGCAGGCTTGAGAACCTTGTTGTTGAAGGCATCCAACCAGTCCGTTGGGAGCGAATACGGTTTTTTTTTTTTCAACTATACTACGATTCTATCACATGGCTCGGCGCACCAACCGCCAACACTGAAACACTGGCGGGAAATACTCGATCGAAGCGCCTCGGCGACGAAAGTCAGGCAAACGGATATGACACGTTGTTTTTACCGTTCTACACGAATCAGAGCAGATGGTGTGGTTGGTGACGTCCACGGTAAGGATCGGCCAGGATCAAGAACCTTCATGTTCGATAACCGCTCGGCCGGAACGCGCTCGCATGGAAAGCGTATCGAATACATCATCCTCGTCCGCTTGGTGTCAAGGACTGCGCGTGGCTGTTGCTATCGGCGCCATTGATCGACCACTGAGGCCGGGTTTAGACTTGCGCTTAGACATAAGTCAAAAAGGAAAATAGATTAATCGTCCAAGTTAACGGATGGTCAGGCCGATACTATTACGAAGTATGTGTCACTTGATCCAAAACCCCATCTCGGAGGCATATCAGTCAGTTTCCTCCGTCCTCTGCCTTTCCTACGGCTTCGCTTCTTTTCCCCACAGAGGCAGTGATTGGTCCATCGCAATTAAATGCTGGGGCCGTTTCTCGGCGAATGACAACCGACGCGCCTTTCGACTTGGGAAAAACAATTCCATGAACTCTGATTTGGGAAACTGGGCATTTTCCACGAGGTAACGCCGACATCGCACGCGATTCTGGCCCCTGATGGAGAAATTGCTGGACGGGATTTGCAAGGTAGGTAACATCACGACTCCACCGCCTCATCAATTCCACCTCTTAATATCTTCGGATATACCCTCTGGCTCCTTCGATGGATATATATCAATGACAGAGTTTGGGCCGAGTGTCTCAACCCAAGACCTCTTTCTTCAGGATCAGACGATCGACTGGTCTCCACGTGCGGTGGCACTTTTATCGATCCTGCTAGGCTTTCTCCAACGACTCCGTAGTTCGGGATACCATATGGCCAGTGGGTATTCTACATGGGCTCCCAGTAAGCTGGGGTCTTCGATAGACCGGGATTAGGGAACCTTTAATTAATCACCCTGCACTTCCGATAGCGCGATAGGACAGCACCAGTCTTCAAGGCAAACCCGACGGGTACCTGTCCCTTGTCCAACGTAGTACAGGGCCATGTAAGCCTCAAGCGATGCACGCACGAACCGCCAACGGGCAACGGTCGGTAGTCAGTCAAACTCAACAACAACCTTTAAAAATATCCCCCCCCCCTCCTCCCAAAAAAAAGAGAGAGACTCGATGTACATACATACGGAGTACAGTAATTGGAATAACACTAAGAATGTCTCACCCCTAACCATGGTCCCGACAATTTGGTCGCTAAGCGCCGAAAGAAAGATTAGCCTTGTCCACAGCGCGTCCCATGGTCCCATGCTTCGGGTCCGGGAAGCAACACATCTGCTCTCTTCATGAGCCCACACAATTCCCAGTTCAACCCGCAGGAAAGACATTCGGTCTCCGATTGAGTCGTAAAACCTTACCGTATCCGGTAGATGATCTGCGAAACCGTTGAAGATCGATGGACGGATTCCAGCAACTATACTGGAACCGGGAATAGTCTAACCCACCGGCGAAAGGCATCAAACAATGGTTTGCGACACTAAAAATGGTTCAGCATGAATTAAGTAGTATTATTTTTTCGCTCTCCTTTCCTTGCCAGCGGTAACTTCCGCCCGCTCTAACTACCTACCGATTAGGGCCTACTGTGTTCAATCAGGCAGAGATGCCTCTCCAGATGAAGAGAGGCCCAATCAGGTCCAGTGGTTTCAAGTTGAAGACAAGGTGTCACCCACGTGGGATTCCCATTTTGGTACCCCTGCGTCGCCCCGGTCCACTTCTGGGACGTCATGTGCCAGGACTTACCAGGCTAGGTAAATGGTTTTACTTTCCATTCTTATTAAGTGGGTTCAAAATTCTTAACACTACTGATAGTCGTAGCCTAGTAGGTAACCTCCATGTTGACACCGTCCGGGCTACGTACCCCATGTCTAGGAACTGCGGTTTCATCCACGGAGAATTGTGTCAGCGGACGCGGAAGATAAATTAACTGCGTGCTATTATAGCCTCTCGTTGACCGCTAGTTGTGGCTCACTCCAGGAGAACAATGACAAATCATACAACCAGAGCTGACAGTGAGAAGATCAATCAGGAATAGTAAGAAAAAAAATTAAGATTAGAAGGAACAGGCACAGAAAATCCTTCACGACGCCGCGAGTGACAAATATTAATCCCGAAGGAATGGGAGTAAGTCATTAATACCTACGACCTACTAAAATCGTTGGAGCCGAGCAATCCAGTCGATCTTTGGCCTGGCATATTAGCAATTTATATCGTCACTAGTCATATTATGATTGATTATAGATTGCCAATGGTAATTAGTTGGCCTCCTCGCGGATCTTATGGAGATCCTGTTCTGCACTCTCCCGACAAAGGGTCATTAGGACAGATTTTGGCTAACGATCATTAGCAGCTTCCTCAGCTGAATTAATTGGAGGCAAATGCCTGGAAATATATATATATATATATATATATATGCTAGATAATGAGATTTCACTTCTGTGGACGGCGTGTTTGGACCTACATGATTCATGTCAATTAGCAATTGATGAATATAAATTAAAGACCGGATAGGGCCCGGTATATGCATGACTGTCGGGCTGTTCTGTCGGTCCGAAATCACACTTATGGTTATTAGTGTCTATAGTGTGAATATTGAGTTTAGGAGGATTGCCTCTCCCGTTCAACGTGCTTCTCTCTTCTCGGAGTGATTTGGTCAATCAAGGACTGATATTGACGAAAACCGAAAAGCTCGTATCTATTCCCAAGAAAAATCAGAAAAGTGAACGGAAAAAAGGGGTAATTGACTAACCGTATATCTCCTTATCTTTACCATCCTACCCCGGTTAACCGTAGCTCTTACTATTCATTTCGAATGCTTATAGAATTTGTAGACTGGAAGAAACACGTCTCATTCGGTGCATGCAGTCGAGCCGACATACCCGATTTCATCTGCAGAAGTGATACCATCTAGGTTAAACAAACTAGGATACCACCGAATGGCAACACGACACATTTACTGAATATAGAGTAGAAGTCACTGTTATCGACACAAGTCACTAAGATGGTGTGAAAGGACCCCTGCGGGTAGGTCAGAAGACCTCCCCAGGTAGTTTTAGTGCATTGGGACTCTTTTTTCGCCTGTTAGATAAATAGCCCTTCAGTCCTGCTAGGAAGTGAGTAAATTTGGGATCGTGAAGCGAGTTATCAGGCCGTTGCGATGCTGTGGCCGTCCAAATACATCAAACGGTTGGAACCCATGCCACGGGGTTATATCTTTTCACGCAAATGGCCAGTTTCACTCTGCGATACCAGTACGGGCCGACCTTGATTATAATGCGTCAGATCTAGCCGCCGGCGGGAGAGGGTTTGTCGATCGCATCACGGCAAACAATAGAATAAAAGGATTCGGAGCAAGAACAGAAGATCGCAAGTCGGTGTCTTCAGGAAGACGCCTACACTCCTATTGAATACCGTATTGTCCCGCTATTGAGACATCACTTAACACGCTGTTCGGATATTGACTAAAGTCAATATGGTCGGTTAGAAGCCAAACCTATGTGGAACAAAGAAAGGAAAACGATGTGTGACGGGCGAGTATCCTGTCTCCTGAGAAGTAAAGAAGCCTTACTTTCAGCCCAATGACTCGCCGGGCCATATCTTCGCAGAACTGGGCGCCGTGGTAGGCATGGGTCTTGGTGGATAACAGGTTCGGGGGCAAATTTTTGTTCTCACCCATGTCAACATCCTTCTCGCCGATATTCAAGAAGTTCAGTGAGGTCTGAATTTGTCAGTCGACTCATAGAGCACACCGAGCGCTCCTGTGCAAACCCTCGCTGATTAACGAATTATATATTGTTTCACTGGGGCTTCATGACACTATGGCTATTAACAGCTTGATCTGGGGCTTTTATGGAATATCTCGTTAAGCTTAAGGAGCCAGACTTTTTTCAGCGATGTACATCTGCAAACCAGGGCATGAGACTGCAAGAAGGGTTTCCGAAGGCCCAAAGTATGCTCCCATACCACGTTCTGTTCAAGACAACCACCAGATTGATGAAGTGGGCTGTGCTCAAGCACCCTACGAGATTATACCCAGTCATGACAGGGTTGGGGATGATCAATCAAGCAAACGTGGCCAGAAAAGGAAACACGGAAAGCCCCGGCTCGGGAGGTGCAGGCGAGGATGAGACTAACGATGAGTGTCCTGATTTGATGATACTTTGCAGCGCTTGCAAGAATACAGCCAGGATGGCACCAAGGCTCTGTATGCATTCATAAACTTATCGACAACTGCTTGTGAAATATGCTGGAATGAAACAGATGGCGGCCCGCAGCCAGCAGAACGGATGGAGATGGAGCTGTACAATCATCTGTATGGCCTGTATCGACCGGAGACTGGAGGCCAGATATCAGGCTATGTCGGTTGGCGGGGACTGAGTGCAGTCAATATATTCTTGCTGCTAATCTTCACCTGGGGGTGCCGCGACTCGAAGTCTTGATGGCGTTTGGGTCTGACAGGTTTGCTAGTAGGTCATTGAGGATCGAGGCGGCCGCGTCAATGTGATGGCGCCAACTGACTCCGCCATCGTGCTCTCCCGCTCGAAGCAAGCAAGCCCGTTATTGAGCCTCACAGAGGGTCGCCAGAGGGCGTAATTCTTGTCAGATTGGGGGCCCGATCATAAGGAATTCAGAGTCTATTGCAGATATCGTCAATAAAGGATATGCATCTTTTGCCGATAGAAATATCGCCGTGGAGAATGCGGACTCTTATCTCGGAGAGAAGACAGTCTAAGGAAAGGACATAAAGAGGAGAGAGTCAAGAAGTCTGCTAAAAGAGGCCTTTGCAGACTACTACTTACTCTCAAAACATTGAGCTGGGGCTGGTCTACTTCATGGTCATAATAGCTGACAGAAGTAACTCATCTTGAGAAGGCTGTCGTGGGAGCGGAAAACAAGACATCCCGCTTGTCAACTATCAAGCATATCCTTTGGAGTCTAAACGAGACTCGCATATTTACCTTCCGTTTTATCATCTCATACCCGAACAGTGAGAACTGGCTTCTGATAAAACTCGAACCGTCAAAGCCTAATGAGCGAGATAACCAATCTGTATTTCTGCAGGTTTATCTTTATGATTCGGTCAGCCAAAGAAGTCCTAGAGCTACTACAGGCTCACTGCATCCTTTCTCAGCAGTTATTTCCTCCGCCCATGTCCCACGCAGCACAGAAACTTGTTTTTTTTTTTCATAGGATGGCATTTTGAGGGATTAGCAGAGGAATCATCCAGACATGGAAGAAGTGGAGTATGCCTACCCCCTCTCTCCAACGACGACACACGAGACGAAATCTACACTGAGCCGTATAGGAGAAGGATTAAGCTGTTAGAGCAGCCTATAGTTATTCTCGGTTATTAACATGTTACACTCTTGTTCTAGGCCGTTCTTATACTGGCGGATCTAGAAATATCAAAGAGGATTGCTATGAAAGCAACGGAATCTCTCTTATTTGTTCTTACTACGCTACGTCGGCAGTTGCTGATCCTCAACACCTTTGCAGAGACGTGCATTTATTATTTGATTTGCCAATATCTGAGTCCCTTACTACGCAAGGAAGTGGCAGTGTCGCCCGGCTCGGCCAGACTAAAACTGTTAAAATCTACCATTACCCAGTCGAGAAGTCATTTAACACGACGATATGGATGAAATCAATACGTAAGACTGTCCCTGACTTTGCTGTAATGGTGAACATCTCTATAGAGATAATTAAGCGAGAGTTATATTAGTACGGATACGCGCAAAATATATCCTCAACTTGTGGATATTTTATGCGACCCAATATCCAATGGAGAGGATCAGCCGCAGTCGGGCTACTCGTATGATGCAATGACCGTTATGATAATCGTGTATCCAAATGAATTGAAGATATGATGAATCGTATCCAAGCATACATTCTCGATTAGATAAAATAACCCAAGTCGGCCAATGCCCCCTACTTTGTATATATTGGCCCATGTACGCTCTGGGTTTCCCCTCCTTCCCCTTGTGAACATAAGCATTGGCGCTGTAACGTTAGACCTGGCGCTATAGCAGACCAACAGTCGGTCCAGGCAATTTAGTGGATGAGCGGTTGCTTATCCGCGTTGGGAGCCCTGCTGGCACCACTGGCAACCTTGTCATAACCACTAACGGGGTCCACAGCATTGTTTAGTAGAACCTTGAATACTCCACGCCAGAGGTAGTGCTGACTCATTCTCGACTCTCATGCATTGGGGCGAGTTATTTATGTAGGTGAGGGTTAGTGGAAGCTGTCCCTCTGTGCTCAATCATGCTACTTCCCCCCATTTCAGACTCTGGCATATCCAAAACGGAGAGTTAATCGAATACGTGTAAGACGGCCTCGTTTCCAGAATATGTTTTCACCCCGCCATTCCAACCAAGAACCCGGACCTGCGGATTGCCGACATCGGTACAGGCACCGGGTAAGACAATCAAATGAACGTTCCGTTCGGGGCCAATCTAAGAATAGCAGGACATGGCTCACAGACCTGGCTGACGAGCTGCCGAAGTCGGCTCGTCGGGATGCCATGGATATCTCATTTGCTGCCACCCCTTTGCTGGAGATGCTCCCACCCAACGTGAGTTTGCAACCAATGGGACGTGAAGACCGACGTACCGAAGCATCTGGTGGGCGTCTATGATGTGATCCATCTTCGCTATTTCGCCTTTGTGATCCAGGAGCACGAGCTAGACGCAGTACTGGAAAGACTTCTCAAACTTCTAAGTTAGTGTTCCCTTTCCTCTACGGTGCGCGCCTGAAGGACAGCCTTACTAAACTGCCACAGAGCCTGGAGGTTATATCCAATGGACTGACATTGATATCAGCTCCCTCCGGCTGGAAAAGATCCGACCGGATATTCAGGCCGATGCGCAGGTCAAGTTGATGAACCAGTTCAAAGGGAATGAGAACCGGCTCGACTCAGCCTGGGTCCCAACCCTGGCCAAGCGGTTCGCCGACAACGAACTGACCGATGTCATAACCGATGCGCGAGAGGCGCCACCACACTTAGCGTTGGCGCTTCACGAGGTCGGGCTGCTGGCAACCGAGGTCCTCACACGAAACAAGGCAAGTAGTGGCAACGAGGAAGCGTGCGGCAGCGGTGAAGCAGACCCTAGCTCAAGCTGCAAAGGAGACTCGAGATGGATCGTACTTGGCCTTTACTAGATACACCATAGTCAAGGGGGATCCTGCGTGAGTTCCTTCTACTTTCCTAAGGAAAGCTGTGACGACGAGCGCAGCGATTGTGAATCCAATGACAAGCCTCCCATAAAGGTCGCTGTCGATCTTTCGTGGCTATATAAATTGTATATGACCCCTGATCTTGTCCATTGTATACATTGTACATATATAGATGGCTCAGTCGAGCATCCAAAAGAATAGTAAAAGAGAAAAGAAAAAGCAAAAAAATCAAATCCACCCCCCTTCCACTCCCCTCCTAACAGCCTCCTCCCTCTTCCTCCTCACCTCCTGATCCTCCATATCCTCCCCCTCAAACGGCCCAACCCAATCCCACGCCCCAAAATCCCCCTCGACAGGCCCCCGTTCCTCATTCACCCACTCCTCAAATCCCATATTCCCAATATCCAAATTGCAGAACATGCCCCACGCCTTCACCCACGGAATCCGACACAAACGATATCCCTCGCCATCCCCCTCCCAATCTTCATCCTCCCGATCCTCCGGACTCACATACTCAGCCAACAAACAAGTCTCCATCTCCAGACCCTTCTGATCAATGACCAGCCAGTTCGAGGCCGATAGACCCGCATCCCTGAATAGGTCCTGGGTGGTCGGATCGTCAAGGTAAGTGTAGATCTCGTGGGGGGATTTGGCGGCGAAGGCGTTGGTGGTGGCTGTTAGGGTGGATTCCCCGGGTTCTTCTGACATTTGGAGCGGTGGGATGGAGGGTGTTGATGGGTTGGGTGGGGGGTTGGTCAGAATGAGGGTCCATTGCGGGGGACAATTGAATTCGTAATCTGTTAGGTGGAGGAGAGCTTTGTTGATTGTCTGGTTGTTGTTTGGGGGAGTTAGTTATTTGGTTTGGTGGTGTTGAGCAAAGTAGTTAGGGTTGTGTGGTTCCGTTGTGTATAGGACATGTCACATACCTTGATTGGGGCCTCTGGGGCTGTGATGAAGATGGGCCAGTTGCTCATTGTTGTGTTGGGGGGGGGGGGGGGTTAATTTAGCAATTGATTAATTGATTGGGATCAGGGTGGATGGGTTTCTGGGGTAAGAAAAAAGATTTGGATCTACTAATACTTACTACTTATATTTCTATATTTCTACAGCTTATTTAGATTCCTTGAGGAGAAGGCAGCCACAGGTTTGTGCAAGGCAGCAGGGCTGGTGGGGGCATTGATCGACATGGCCGGGGCAACGTCTCTGTTGGACCCACTTTTGGACTTCTTTTGACCCACTATGGATTCTGTTCTATGAGTTGACTGTGTGGCTCACTGCGGAGGTTGAGCTTGTGTTGGTTTTGTGTGATTGTGAAGCCGAAGCGTTCGATAGTGCCTTTCTCGGGGAGGAGATGAAGTACATGGATTGTGGCACCAAAGTTGCCAATAACAAGGAGCGCAGAAGGAGTGGTGGAGGGGGTCAATGTGTTGATAAGACGGGCAAGCATGACGATGTGAGTTAAAGATCTTTAAATGAAGTGATGTTGATTCTTGATTTACTTATAACTTGGTCAAGGTCAGGAACGAAACATATGCTTATGTGGACTAAATTAAGGCCAATAGTGCTAATCTATTTCCAGTGTACCAACTTGAAATTACAATACTGTATAAATACAAAGCTAGCTTCTATTCTAAGATAGAGGAGTATATATAGTATATACTCTTGCGAGCATCCTATCTAAAGGAAAAACCCATTTGTATTAGGTGGTCATGGAGGGACAGGCATTACAAGAGCTCAAAATGGTATTGTCCAGCCAGGACTGAAAAGAGCATCTTTGTTGTTGAAACAATTATGAGTGACGAGTATATAACAAACATACACAGCATGGCCACATGTAGGCAAGTAAAAGCAACAGCCGTGACACGAGATCAGAGTAGACTACACACACTGTGAAAAGTACAGCCTTGCGACGTTCACCTACCACGAACCAACAGTAGGGGTAGTGTAACTCCCAGAGACTGTAGCCCCCGAACATTGGCTGGGAACTGCATTAGCCGTGGAAGACCCCCAACTAGCAGGAACAGTGCCACTCCGTCTACCAGCAGCACTTAGGAATGCTGCATACGACCATGTCAGATCGGACGCCGAAACCGGGCTGCCTTGGTCCCGACTGTACTGCTCGGCCAGCGCACCGTCATCGGGAGTATACTCCTGAACAACGGAGATGAAGCCATCTGCGTAGGCCTTGACGGCGCTTGTGAGAGATTCGTAGGCTGAGGAGGACTTGGCATAGGATCCGGTGGTGACATTTCCAGAGAGATCCTTGAAGAAGGGAAGAGAAGTTTCTGTGACATTCACTTGGCCTTGTTTGTCCCACTGGTACAAGGCGTCGTAGAGCAATTCCGCAGCGACCAGAGTAGTAAGATACCTAGAATATATTAGTGTAAGGCTCAGAATCAATGTGAGACATAGTACCGACCATGGATTGCCTCCCTGGTAGCTATCCTCTGCGTAACGGCCCACTGCTGCGGCCTTTCCTGCTTCACGTCCATTGTTGATACCATAGACCGACCGGAAAGAGTCAACCACAAGCTTATGGTTCGACAGAGCGCGAGAGGAGCAGGGCTGGAACGTGGTATCATCACAGGTGGCAGCTGGGTCAAAAGTATGAATGGAGGCCAAAAGGGAGTTGGTATCCAGTCCACTGCGTCCGCTGGTGGGAATGTTAGAAAGAACAGCGGACCCATTCCAGAAGTCCTGAAGATGGCAGAGGATTTGCGGCGCCACGGAGCACGCCGCACATTCCTCTCCGAGAGCCTTCGCAAACGCGTCGCCCTCGACCAAGGCCTTGTGCTGTACAGCAGTAGTAAAGAAGGAACTGCCCTGAACCTCTTCCCAGAGATCAAACGTGCTCTGGTTCCAGTATTGACCCACGTAGGACAAATCATTCTGGACAATTGGCCAGATGTTGGTCTTGACATGAGATTGCTTGTCATTGGCGATTAGGGAGTTGCCATACGCGATTAAGGCGGAAGCGCGTAAAGCTGGACCATCACGTTGAGGCCGGCCCCAAGAATCGGTGAATTGAGAGATGTTGACGTAAAACTTGGGCTCACCGAGACCCGAGCCATCTGACAAACTGCCGGATGGGTTGGAGACTGCCTGCTGGGTCGCTTGAGAGTCAACAAAATTCTGGACAGTAGACTCCAGAGTCGAGTCTCCCCCAATAAATTGCTCTATCACCTCCGCCATGGTCAGGCCAGCGTCGCGCGTCCAGGTATAGAAGTCTAATGATAGTCAGTTCTGTGGCTATATGAAGCGGCGAGAGTGGGATTGTACGAACAATCAGGATCGCTTTTGGATGGGGAGGCCACAACAATACCCGCGGCAGCCCCCTCAACAAGACTGCCATTGGCGCCGATATTATTGAGGACGCCCTGTTTGGCAATGGGGGTCTGTTTCTCAATGAAAGCGTTGACATCCGACTGCCTCTTGTGGATAGGAAACGACGGATGCGCGGCAGCGCCTGCAATGGCATTGAGGGAAATAAGAAAGCTGTTCCGCATGATGGAGGTGACTTTCAAAAACCAGGATTTGATTGTCGGTGTTTGTTGGCTGCCTCATTCCAAGTGAGAACTTCAGGTGCTTTTATAGCGCAACCTACACGCAATGTAGACGATGCAGTGAATCGATCAGCAATGGGTTTCATGACACTAACCAGCAGGGAACGGGCCGATCAGTCGGAGATTACTCGAATCTCGCAACGGCTTTCCGAAGGGCAAAGAACCCATCATGAAGCAGACCCGGTATTAATTTCGGGATTTCAGCGTCGCAGATCCAATTGGGATCGATATTGCGTCGGAGAGACTAAAAGTGATCATCCCGACATCTGCCCGTGCCGGCATTCTCTTGGATGCCACTGGTGGAAACTCCATCGCGCTGAACCGCCGAGTCTTAGTTGACTTTCAAAACTCTTATACGGTGGAGGATTATTCTTGACTGTATTTAGGTTAAGCCACGGTCGAGGCCGAGTGGGTGATGTACATATATCACCGTTAGTTGTGATCGGGGTAGCATCCGGGCCCTGCAACTAGGAGCATTCTTCAATCCTTGGCAGTAGTTCTCATGATAAGTAAGTATTTCGCTGTTTGAGATAGATGTCCCTCGTTTGTGAGTGGCTGATTCGCCGCCATTAGGCCGGACACGATGCCATTCCCAGTACGCATCGGCGTACGCTGCCGTTCGTATTTGATTGGCTTCAAAATCAGACGACGTGCCGTGGCGCTCATACAGGCGCTAGCGATAGTGATCCTGGGATCGCCCGCCGGTGCCTGACTTGAGATTTGCAAAAGTTTTGGAAGCAAGCAAAGTTCATGACGTGATCCATCCCATCGACGTCATCACATGACCTCTACCACTCCTTCGGCGGATGCTTTGGTTTCTACTGGAAACTCTCACAAATACACCTAGTTGCATTGCGCGAACAATGTTGCTAGGAGGGAGTTTAGTTAAACTGACCCGGGACGGCTATACCAGTGGAGAATACTTCCTCTTGACATGGGTGCCGTAGTTCTGACCGCCACCCCATGGATGAAGATCCATTTTCCACGTTGAAGTCCAACGACAGACACTGGATTTCTTTACTGCCACACGCTTACTGCTATAGATATCCATCGCACAGGTGACCTAGTGGTCAATGAGTAACCACCAGCAGACTGGCTTTGATCAGCCGTTCTTCATCGTTACTTGGATTGAGACTGGCTTGGCACTGGTTTTACTGTCTGTTAGGTGCTTTACATCCTGGAAGATTGTTCAATATACTGGACCTGACCTAATTCTGGCAATCATTACTTTTGTACGTCCCTCGGTTAAGCATATAGCCCGACGACTGACGAGAGTTAGATTTTTGGCATTGCGAGCATGGTCATGATCACTGTGGGAACGGCATACGGCATCGGGACTCCCTCAGCTACCCTAACAAATAGCGATGACAAGAATGCTTTGTTGTTTGGTTGGACTAGTCAGTTCTTGTCTCTCATTGGTATTGGTCTTGGGAAGGTTGCCCTTGTGGCGTTTATAGAGCATCTCCAGAAGTACGAAAGAAAGTCCAAGAGGGCGTTTCTTTGGTTTATTGCTGGAAGTAATCTCATCGTCAATGTGGTTGCTGCTATCCTCGTCTTTCTTCAGTGCTCCCCTGCAAAGAAGCTCTGGGATGAACAGATACCCGGACGGTGTCCCGGGCGGAGAAGAGTTCAGATCTTCGGGTATATCCAGGGACGTGAGTAGCTTACGCCAGGAGAATGTAGTCGGAGTTAATCAGCTGTTGTTCTAGCCTACTCGGCATTCTGTGATTTTGCCTTAGCGGTTTACCCCGTGCTCATATTCCGCAAAGTCCAGGCGTTTTCACTCCCAACCAAAATTGGCCTTTCTGTCCTTATGGGGCTCGGTATAGTGTAAGAAACCCTCCAGGCGACGCAACTGCGTTTATTGACTTGCAGTAGGGCAGGCGCCTGTACAATAATCAAGACCGTTAAACTGAAGCTCTTGACTAAAGTCGAAGATACCACATGCACGTACTCACGGGAGGCTCTGGCCTTAGAAGCCAAGACTTATACTAACTATCACTCCAGGGACACTGGCTGGATTGATTCTGTGGAACCAGTACGTACATTGTATGACCTGGTTAGCCACGGTATGGAGAATTGACACGCTATAGGACCGAAATGTGGGTTGTCTTTATTGTCAGTTGCATTCCGCCGACCACGGCCTTTTTCAGGTTTGCATATCGAGAGTGTGCTAGCAGGATTAGCTCAGTCTTTCACCGGATACGGTCCAGTGATGAGGTATAAAGGTGTGTCGTGATATATGGACCATTCCCGTCTGGCACTAAGACAGTGACAGGTTCAACGCTATAACCTCGGCTTGAAGTGTCTATATTAAGAATATCTCATCTATACTCATAGACGTAACTCTCAGTAAACCGTCATCTCTGTGCTCCTTGTGTGACAATATCAACTCGGCAATATCCGATAAAGCAGACGATGTAGGCCAAGAAAGCCCGACAATGAAACATCGTAGATCAAGGCCACAATCATGGACCCTATTAGTAGATCTAGGTGTTCCAACCATGGCCTAGAATTCATTCATATTGATATACGTAGTAGAACAGCGTCTTCAGACAACACACATGACCACACTGAGCTCATCCCGATGTGGTATATGCAGCCGGAAGACCGCCACCGACACGCCCATGCATAAGTGTCTGAAGCCGTTGCTACCGTGTTGAGGGAATAAAGTCCTCAAGTGGAGATACTCAAGAAAGTCATTCGATCATTTCGATCCTCCCCACCAGGTGCTTGGGCACTGACTCTGCCACAATCCACATCCAATGTAACGGATGAGAGGAGAATTACGTTGAAGAAGACCCGGTACTCAAGTTCAAGTTACAGATCTGCAAGCCACATTCAGCAAACGCTTCGATTGCAGATACTCCACTTATCAGCAGGCAGGCCTGGTGACGAGACTTTTCTAGAATGCTACGCCATGCAGAGTCGCGTGAACACTTTTTTCTTCGACTGGAAACAGAAGTGGAGAGGATACGATGTGAATAACAGCAATTGCTATCCCAAAGAAGGATGATACCTTGTGGCTCTTACTCGCTGTCCCGTGGTTGCAGTAAATCTCGCCGTCTCGGGTATGTGCACTGCGAATGACTGGATGGCATGCTCCAGAGATCAACAACATATGCACGACAAGCTTCGAGATCACACTTGGAACAGCTGGAAAGTCACCAATTCCTGAATCTTCACCGCGCTTATGCGACTGAACGGGCAAATCGCCGGCAGATGCTCAAGTTCTGGATGTATGCTCTAGGTTTAATCCGAACCCAAATGCGCGAGGTTGTTCCCTCCTCTGGGCCATGCGCAGAACTCACCCGACCGCGTGCATCCTGCCCTTGGCCCAGTCAGCAGCAGTGTGTCACCCTCAGTGAGGCTTGGCTACCGAGAGCGCAGGTGATGCACTTGAGTTGCACAGCATTTGTGCACTGGTGGGATGCGGGCCATTGGTGGAGGGTGCGGTCCATTCCTCGGGCCCTTCGGCAATGAACATCTCCTCGGGAATTCAGGACAAACGCATTCGGATTCTGCTGGTATCCTGCGCTTTATATGGATACAGATACATGCGGAGGCTCCAGGTGGTCATAGGCAACCAGGTATGCGGCATTTCAGGACGATGAGACTATAGGTATCAGAACCGTGTACCGCATGCGTTTGCGGTACGATAATAAGATTATAGACGTGTCATATCGACTGATGCCGATGATCTGCGGCGGTGTTGATCTTTTCATTATGCTTCATTCAGTCGAGTTCCTGCTTGAATACACAGGTTGATTGGCTTCTCTGTTACCGATACGATGTGATATGTCAACCCTACGCCGACGTCCCAACCGGAAGTCTTTCGACATAAAATGAAAGTCACACCTAATCTTCCCTGTGAAACGCTGCTTCTTCGACTTTTCTTTATACCCCGCAACTTTGAAACACTGTGAGCAACCCTTCATAGGGCGCCTTCGGTGCACTAGCCCTTTAGCGCCCAACGTTAAACGGTTAGACGTTAGGTCTCTATCCAACGGTCCGTCCAGTTGCAGGACAGCGGCTAACTGAAGCATATAGGATTGCCCAATCTAATTTCGACCTCGCCGCTTCACTGACCTCGTTATACCGGCTGTGCGGTCTGATGGCTCGAGTAATCTCCACTTGTGGTCATCTAGAATGCGAAGGTTGTCTTACAACAGGGTTTTATCGACTAGTCCTGTCGGAGATTATGCCACTCTTTGTTCCAAGCTGATCATGTCTCGGTCCCGTTGTCTTCTCACCCCCCCCGTCTTTGAGAGAATATTCTTTATACCTTATTCAAGGTTACAGTCATTATGGTTGCATCTGTGGAGGCTTCCATGACTTTGGTGAGGAGCATATAAGAGCGGCTGGGGGCATATGGAACTGTCGCTATCATAGATCTTCTTTCTTTACCTTACCCGTCAAGGCTTGACCACTATCCAGCATGAAGATCAAGCCCTTTGTTCTCGGCATAGCCTCCGTGCTCTGCTCCCTGGTGGACGCACTGCCGAGCCCAGGCAATGAGACCAGCAAGCCACAGGCCTCAGACCGAATGGTCTTTGCACATTTCATGGTAGGCCATCTCCGCAGAATCAAGCCTCCAGTAGCGAACCCTAACGATCTAGTAGATCGGAATCGTCAGTAACCGCAAGTCGGCTGCCGATTTCGACAGTGACATGAAACGTGCGAAAGACCTAGGGATCGACGCCTTCGCCCTCAACATTGGTGTGGACCGTGTCGATCCTTTCACAGACACACAACTAGAGTTTGCGTACCAGTCTGCCGCGAACAATAACATGAAGGTTTTCATCTCCTTCGACTTCAACTGGTGGAAGGAAGATTCAGAGGCCTCTCAAGTTGGGCAGAAGATTGCCAGGTTTGGGGGAAAGCCGGCACAGCTCATGATGGACGGCAAGGTCTTCGTCTCCTCTTTCGCTGGTGACCGAGTAGATGTAAACGCGATCCGTTCGGCTGCTGGTCGGCCCATCTACTGGGCTCCAAACTATCACCGACCGGAGAGCACTGATATCTCCAAAGTGGATGCGCTGCTGAACTGGATGGCCTGGCCCAACGATGGGAACAACAAGGCACCGAAGCCAGGTCGTCTGGTGACTGTGCAGGATGGCGATAAGAAGTATATGAATGCATTGGGAGGCAAACCCTATATCGCTCGTGAGCAACTGACTACACCCTAGCCTATGTCATCGAGTCAAGAGCTAACCTCGTCGTCAGCCGTCTCTCCTTGGTTCTCCACCCACTTTGGTCCCGAAGTCCCATATAGTAAGAACTGGGTCTTCCCATCGGACAATCTCTGGTATGAGCGATGGATTGAGATGCTGAACCTCAAGCCACGCTTCATTGAAATCGTCACTTGGAACGACTACGGTGAATCCCATTACATTGCCCCTCTGGCATCCACCCATACCGATGATGGATGCTCCAAATATGTCAATGACATGTAAGCCAGCGCCTCCCCTCCCCATCACCGGTCTACTACTAACACCAATAGGCCACACAATGGCTGGATGGAACTGGCCCGGCCTTTCATCGCCGCCTATAAGGCTGGTGCCTCCTCCGTGAACAAATATATCAAGGATGAGCAATTGATCTACTGGTATCGACCGGCTCCCCGCGGCGTAAACTGCGACGCCACCGACACCTGCATGGTGCCCGCCGACAACAGCAGCGGCAATTACTTCATGGGCCGGCCAAATGGCTGGGAATCCATGGACGATGTGGTCTTCGTCGTCTCCATGTTGAAATCGCCCGCCAAGATCCAGATCGCCTCGGGGAGCAGCCAGCAAGTCTTTGAGGCCAAAGCTGGAGCCACAGCCTTCAAAGCCCCGATGGGCGTCGGGCAGCAGAGCTTCGCCGTCGTCCGCGACGACAAGATGGTCCTGGCGGGGACGAGTCCCAAGGATATCATCGATGGCTGTGTGTGCGGTATCTATAACTTCAACGCCTTCGGTAAGTAACATACCCAGCGGAAGCATAACTCACCTTAATACCCCCAGTCCCACTAACATCCCTCACTTCTAGTCGGGATGCTGCCCCCGGAGCCCATGGACAACCTCCAGCCAGACAGTCTGGCGCGATTCGCCCAAGGCCTCAAGGTGCAATGCGAAGCCAAACCGTCCCTAAAGCCACCACCTCCTCCTCCATCAACAATCAATCCCAACCCCCCGACTAATCCTCCCAATCCTCCTCCAACAAATAATCCACCAAACCCTCCCCCAACCAACAATCCCCCAAACCCTCCTCCAACAAACAATCCTCCTCCTCCTCCTCCTCCTCCTCCTCCTCCACCACCACCACCACCCCCTACCACAACCCAGAACCCACCACCACCACCACCGCCAACGAACAACCCTCCCCCGAACCCTCCCCCACCAAACCAGC